ATTTTATTTGGAAGTGTAAAACACCCAGATACAACTTTCTAAAGAAAAAAAATCCAAACTTCGGGAGTTTCTGTTTGAGTACACAGTAAAAAACACCCAACTGTTGCTTGCGTTTTTCTTAAAATTCTGGAAATTCATTCATTCTTAGAGAAAACAACGGTTTGTGTTTGTTGTTGTTCATACTCAGATTGAAAATATATTTCTCTGAAAAAAGTCACCTTTTTACTGTGTTTTGTTATTATATAACACTGATTCAATTTTCTTTACTCCCTAAATGTTTATGACACATCTATATTGTTAGTAAACTAAATAGACCAGTTTTTCACTGAAAAGCGCCTATAACAATATTGTAATTAATGGCTATAACTTGCTTGGGGAATGTTATATGTAGACAATTTTATTTGGAAGTGTAAAACACCCAGATACAACTTTCTAAAGAAAAAAAATCCAAACTTCGGGAGTTTCTGTTTGAGTACACAGTAAAAAACACCCAACTGTTGCTTGCGTTTTTCTTAAAATTCTGGAAATTCATTCATTCTTAGAGAAAACAAAAGGAAAACTGGGACTTTATGATGGATATCTAAAATATAAAAATAAGGAGGAAGCAAGCCTGATGCTTGGCCCGTGTCTGAGCTATGACGTGAAAATTGTCCCGAAGCCATAAATAAGTTGGGGCCGTTGGGCTCGGGCTGAAATGCAGGGCTCTAAAGCGCAGCTTGTTGCATTTAAGGAGCAAAAATACACACAAAATGACAACAAAATGGCCATCCTGGCCACACAGTTAAATAAATGATAATATTCAGTGATGTGAAATGTGGAGTAGATATATGACACTTGATGCTGACTGCTAGAATAGGTCATAAAAAACAAAGAAAAGTGCAGGCGTGTCAGGTACCCCAAAAATGTTATAGGTCTTTAAGGGTTAAAAGGCATAATTTCAGTTAGGGGGAAAAAAGCTTTTGGCTTCTCTCCTGAGGGCGCATCGAGCAAAATATTACTAATGCACGTTTATTAAAGCAATAAAATAACACTACTATCTGTGATAAAAGTGCATAATGTTTAAAATGATGTTTATAACCCATATATAATTAAGTTGCTTCAATAATTAGAAACAAAACAGCATCATGTATGTATGTATAGTTTAATACAAAGGACTGAAAACCAATCACATGGAGTACTTTCTTCATTTAAAAACATGAGATGCAGTGGGATGGGGGAAAAACCGCCATAACGTCTTTAGACATGTTTTTCAAAAGTTGAACTTGCATTAATTTTACATGGCTTTCTAAACCTGCGTCTCTCCTGTGTTTCTGACAGGGCTGCAGTAAAATGTTCAGGGATAATTCAGCCATGAGGAAGCACCTGCACACTCACGGCCCGCGGGTCCACGTGTGCGCCGAGTGCGGGAAAGCCTTCGTGGAGAGCTCCAAACTCAAGCGCCATCAGCTGGTTCACACCGGAGAGAAACCCTTCCAGGTACGGGTTATTATGGCCTCCATGTCTAGACTACACTGTAAAAAAATCCTGTAAAATGTACAGTAAAAAGCCGGCAGCTGTGGTTGCCAGAATTTTACTGTAAAAAAATATACGGTAGCAGCATTTTAGGTTTTACATATTTAATTTAAATTTACAGTTAAATACCGTGATTTCATCAACTGATATAATGTTAATATACCAACCTATTAAAGCACTGAAATCTGTTTTGTACCTTTGTAATACACTGATAACCACACAGACACTAAACACCATCACGGTAACACACATGAAACTGAAATAATGCAATAAACATTCATTTAACAACATTAGGTGTAACACGCAACCCTAATGTACACAACTGATGAGAAAAAACTAAGAATAAACATAGTTATTTCAACAAAAAATGTGAAATGTAATGCAGGGAATTCTGGGAATGTCAATTTACGGTTATTCACTGTAAATTATACGTTTTCTTTCACTTCCAAACTACAGTAAAATTACATGTAATGTCCAATACAGGTTTTCACCGTATATAGTTTTTACTGTAGCATTTTTACAGTCTTTTACCGTTAAAATCATGGTCATTTTTTACAGTGTACTGCTGGACCATCTAGAAATGTTCCTCGGACAGCTGACTGCTCATACATGGGGCCCTATGAAAGACATTAGATTTGTTCTCAAATTTGGGGAAAATTTCCATTTTATTTTTTCTGTTTTAATGGTTAAATTAAATTGTAGTAATCAAAAATCATGTCTAATTAATTGAAATCACAAAACATATACAATTTATTAAGTTCAACAAAAATTTAATTTTTAATTGAATTGTTTCCCAAGTATTTTTTTGTTGCATTTTAATGGTTTAATTAAATTATAATAATCAAAAGCCTAATAGTCTAATCATCTTCGTAAAACTTTAACAACTCAAAAATTTTAATAATATTTTTGCAATAATATGGCAGTATGAAATGTTTTACTTGTTCAGAAATTGTTTTTATTTTTTCTGGTTTTATGATTTAATGCAAATTTATTATCAATGACAGTGTTATTCAAGACGTAAGACAAGGGCCATTTAATTCAACTATTAAAATATAATCAAATAAATGTAACAATTCCTTTTTCTTTTCTTTTTTTCCTGCACCACAGAGATTTACTGTTAAAATTAAAATACAGAAAAAACGAGTGTGATAATCTTTTTTTTTTTTTTTTTTTTTTTTTTTTTTTTAAAGGCAATTTGTAATAATATTATTATTACTATTACTTTGAGGAGTGCATTCTACTGTACTATGGTTAGGGCTGGACGATTCTTTTTATCGATTAACTCAAAATTGTGGCAAATCATAAAATTCAATTTTTAGAAATCGAGGAATTAGGGTTTTTGAATAGAAATATTATTAATATTATTATAATGTTGTAGTTACATTTTCAAGTTAACTAGTTAAAAATCATAAAAAATCGAGAATCGAGCAAACGTTCTGGAAAATGTTTTTTTACATTTTTTTTAACAATTTTTTACAAAAATTATAAAAAAAAAATTTCCCAAGTTGAACCAAAGGTTTATTTGGCATGTTGTAGTGAAGATCTTTGAGCTTGTGGTGGATCAGATGTTGTGTAATGTTATTTTGTGGAGGGCGTCTCTAACCGTCCTGTCGTTCTCTCCGTCTAGTGCACGTTCGAGGGCTGCGGGAAGCGCTTCTCTCTGGACTTTAACCTTCGGACGCACGTCCGGATTCACACCGGGGACCGGCCCTACGTTTGCCCCTTCGACGGCTGCAATAAAAAGTTCGCTCAGTCCACCAACCTCAAATCACACATTCTGACACACGCCAAAGCCAAAACCAACCAATGAACTGCGGCGTGTGCTCGAGCATCTTACACGGACTCCAAGGAGGCTTCATCCACGGATGATGCTTTTTACACAAAGACAACAAACCAGAACGTCAGGACTGTCGCTTCATTCTTTTCCACTTTTACTTCGGTCTCTCCGGTCTTCATAGATATATAGCTTTTAATTTTCTATTTCTCCAAGTGTGCATATTGTACACTTATTTTGGGGGTAAGCTTGGTAACGCGACCTGTGATCATGAGTAATGGCTGAGCGTTTCACGGTCGGGTGATGATGTTAGTTCCTGTGCGCTTGTTTGGTTCTCCTCTGTTGTTTTGTACGGTTGTGACGGAACATTAATAATCTGCTGGACGCTGCGGAGCGGCTCTGCTGTAGTCCTCTCTCGTATCACACTTTTCAACCGCAGTGTTAACTGTCCTTTTTTCTTTGTTAGAATGTATCGTAAAGGTCTAAACCATGAACTATCCTTTGTTAATATTTACACCTCGCCTGTATTTCAGCAAACTACAATTAAAGAGGGAAAAATCTGACTTACTTTGCCTTCCTGGAATCATACTGACATTGAATGAAATATTATACTGTCAAAACATTTGACAGACTTCTGTGTTATTTAAATACTATTATGGTGTTTATTAGTATTTATAACCTTTATATTTCAGTTTTTAATTTTGCTTTTAGTAATTTTGTTATTTTATCAAATATTTCTATACATTTAATTTTGATTTTAGTAATTCAACTTAAACGTGTTTTAGTTAGTTGACCATTTATTTTATTCTAGCTTTATTTTAATTAAAAAAATTAATGAATTTTTACACTTTTATCATACTTTTTTTTCATAGAAAATTTTGGTGTAGGATTTTTATTTTTTGGTAACAATTTTCAGTCAGAAATTGCTTGTAAATTTCACAAATAATTACAAAGAAACGCATTGAATTAAATGTGACATTTTAAAGTAGAAAAATGTAAATTGTATTTTCTTAGAAAATATACTCCAATGATTATTTTACAATTATTTACAACTTTAAATGAGTATTATTTACAGTCTAGTTCACTGGATGGGTTTTGAAATGTTAAACCAATAGAAGAAGCGTTGTAGGAGTCAGTATTGTGTTTGTTTGTGGTTAGTTATTAGTTAATGTGATTCTACATCTGTGTGAACTTGAGAACTGATTTTGTTCATTCACTAAAAACCACCAGAACAGCAGCTGATTCAGAAGTGAGAAAAGATTCAGACACTTGATCTGATGAACGATGATCAGACGTTAATAAGAGGGACTGGATATTGCAGGAGGGAACTAGAAAGAGCTGATTAACTAGTCTCTGGTTTAGTGGCCGGGCTGGTAATGACTCTCATCAGTTAAATTCATCATCATCAAGGCAGATGCCTTAATGCTTTTTTTAATGTTTGTCTGGTTCTCGATGACAGTGTAGTTGATGATGAAACTGATTCTCCAGCTACTGCGCTTTAATTAGCCCAGATTAATCGTTTGACTTCATGAAGACTCAACAGCTGCTTTACGTACAGTGATACACACACACACACACACACTCTCTCTCACACACACACACAAATGTGTGCGTGTTACAGTTCACACACTCACACATACACACACACACACTCACTCACACACACACACTCTCACACACATGCACACACTCGCACACACACACACTCTCTCACACACACACATACACACACACACACTCTCTCACACACGCACACACTCACGCACTCACACTCACACACACACACGCTCGCACACACACTTTCACACACACGCACACACTCTCACGCACACACTCTCTCACACACACACACACACTCACACACACACACACACACACTTGCATCCTATTTTTTCAAGATTGAAAACATGTGGGGCTATTTTTAAACTCGGCTGCATTTTAAAGGAATAGTTCACCTAAAACATTTGCTGTAAATGTGCTCACCCTCAGTTCATCCGAGATCAGGATGAGTTTGTTTCTTCATCAGGTTTGTAGAAATGTAGCATTGCATCAGTGTCTCAGCAATGGATGCTCTGCAGTGAATGGGTGCCGTCAGAATGAGAGTCCAAACAGCTGATAAAAACATCACAATAATCCACAAGTAATCCACAGCACTCCAGTCCATCAGTTAACATCTGGAGAAGACAAAAGCTGAAACAAATCCAGCATTAAGACGCTTTTAACTAAAAGTCCATATAATCCATAATAACTGTTCCTCCAGTGAAAAGGTGTTCTGGTCTGAATCAGGAGTCAAGACGTTTTTAACTCAAATACGAGTCCATAATCCATAATAACTCTTCCTCCAGTGAGTCAGTGTTCTGGTCTGAATCAGGAGAGAAATCTGCACAGATCAAGCAGCGTTTAAACAGCTCTAAACTAATATGTGGCTGGATTTTGATGCGAGAGACAACAGCAGATGCACTTTGAGCGTTATTATGGATTATGGACTCCATTAAAAACGTCTGAATGCTGGATTAGTTTCAGCTTTTGTCTTCTCCAGATGTTAACTGATGGACTGGAGTGCTGTGGATTACTTGTGGATTATTGTGATGTTTTTATCAGCTGTTTGGACTCTCATTCTGACGGCACCCATTCACTGAATGTGCAGGTGTTTTTCTGGCTGATTGATATGCTGCTGATGTCAGTGGAGCGTCTGGTTTGTGTTTGTTCAGATCAGGTGTGTGTTCTCCGTCTCGGTGTTTGGGACGATTGATTTGGACATGATGTTCTCCACAGGGATATTTATGCCTGCAGATGCATTATTAATGTTTCTCATGTTAATATTTCGCAGTGGTGCAGGTATTGCATTGCGCCTGTGATGTGGAATCGTTTCTGTGTGTCTTTGCTGCGAGCTCTGCTGCATTTTAGATGGGATTTTACATGCAGAAATATGTTGCCACGGTAACTGAGACATGCAGCAGATCGGCTCGATTCCCACAGAGACGTCAGGAGCGCTCAAATAAACCTGCAGATCAGATCCATTCAGCCATTGATAAGTGTTAGAATAAAGAATTTGAGATCAGATCTGTTCTGGTTGAGTGATGTAGCACAGAAAAGAGACAGATATACCCAGGAGCCCAGAATGTGTGCGGTTCAAATCAAGGCACAAAGCTTTATTATCTAGGGGTACATTATATATATATATATATATACGATATATAGGAAGTGAGAACGGTCTGTTCAGTATTAATAGAGGAAAAGAAGCATATAGACTGCTAGCTGAGCAGAACAACATGTCTTATGACCATGATGTCATGATTATGTCCTTTAGGAGGTACAGAGAAGAGCACATGACGTTCTAGAAGCTTACCAGAAGACAATTAACACGCAGCAGCAGATCAGCCTCTGAAAATATCCCATAATAATACATATTAGTCTCTTGTGATATGATGTGATTAATGATAAATATTGGACTCTGCATGTCTTATGACACTGTCAGCATTAGTCAAAGAATCCAGATCAAACGGAAAGGCGCTAAATGACACTATAAATGAAATTATATATAATATAACATATGTGACTCTGGAGCACAAAACCAGTCATAAGGGTCAATTTTGTGAAATTGAGATTTATGCATCATCTGAAAGCTGAATAAATATGCTTTCCATTGATGTATGGTTTGTTAGGATAGGACAATATTTGAAAATCTGGAATCTGAGGGTGCAAAAAAATCTAAATATTGAGAAAATCGCCTTTAAAGTTGTCCAAATGAAGTTCTTAGCAATGCATATTACTAATCAAAAATTAAGTTTTGATATATTTACGGTAGGAGATTTACAAAATATCTTCATGGAACATGATCTTAACTTAATATCCTAATGATTTTTGGCAAAAAAAAAATTATATATATATATTAGAAACAATTTATAATTCAATATAATTACAAATCCTCATTTGTAAGTAGCTTTGGATAAAAGCGTCTGCTAAATGATTAAATGTAAATAATATAGCATTTATAATTTTAATATAAAGTAACATATATATAATTGTAATTAAAATATAAAATGTACAATTTATGTAAATAATATATTATAATTGTGATTTTTTTTATTTATAATGTATTTAAATAATATACAATTTTAATATGATATAACATTTATAAGTTGAATGTATGTAAATAATATGTGAACATAATACAATATAATTATAATTTTAGTATATCATGCTACATTTATGCTAATATATTTATAATTGTAGTATAGAATTTATAATTTATATAAATAATATGTAATGTTAAAATAATACAATTCTAAATGTAATAGTATTAATGTAAATACAATCTTATTTTAATATAATTTATAATTGATAAATGTACACATAAATAATATATACTTTTATTAAAATAAAAATGCATGTTTAAATAAAGTCGTATTTTCTTTGAAACCGCTTCGTTGGCTGTGAACGTCTCTTCTGTAAGTCATGTAATCATCCGATGAGTGCCGTCGCATTATTTCAGAGTAAATACAGCTGCGCTTCAGTGCTTTTCCAAAGAAACACGACACCACGAAGAGCCAGAAACATTACGAACAGCTTCTGAGAAAACCCCATCAGAGTGCTTTCACCACAGCGTTAAACACGCATGCAGTTATTACTAGAAACGGCTGACGAAACTACATTTCCCAGCATCCTCTGGTGCAGTATTAGACTCGGTGTCAAAGGTCACGATCACATCGATCGTGTGCTTTCATTGATCTGGTGCAGCGTTTCACTTTCTCATGCTTTGCATTCACGCCGCTCTTTCTCAGAAGGAGTAATCACATTCAATATTAACCAGGATGTTCATTCAAAGCACGTTTTCCTCCATTAATAATGCATATGCTTGGAATTGCTTCTGCGCATATTATGATCCTTTGTTTATTTCTCTCCGCAGGTACTGTATGAGGATTGTAGTTGCGTCGTTTACTGTCTGTCCTCGTGGCAGCCGTTTAATTGGCTCATGAATAATTCAGCATGAGCGATTGCTTCGTCATTCTTTCTCTCGCACTTTAGAGAAAATAATCAAATAGACTTTTTAAAACCCTGCTCATCCGTTCCTAACCCAGTTCTCGGCTGGATTTGATGGAACAGTTACAAGGTATTTAATTACATGTATAACATCCTAATTAATTCACACATAAGATGTTTGGTTGGTGTAATTCGATTTTTCAGACTCAGAAACACTTCTCTTCAAATATTGTGATTAATGTAGTTCTAACAATGAAAATATGTCTTTGAATGTATGAGACATCGGGACAAATGAGTCAAATTAAGCATTGGTTAATCTAACAGGAAATGTTCTCGAAACATGGAATGGTTAAAAAACTTATGAGCAAACATTCTTGATGAAACGTTAACCCAGTAATTTTCCCAGACATGAAAATATCCAAATGATGTGTCATTAGTAACCCTTTGAAATAATCAATAATTATTTTTTGGATTTTTTTTTGGAAAAGTGTGTGAACAATTGTGTTTTATGGTCGGCCACAATTGTGGGATAATGTGTGTACTGAATTAACATATTTCTGCAGTCATAAAAATTGTTGTATGTCTTAGCCA